GAGACAGAAGGAAAGCGAGAGAGAGAGAGAGAGAAAAGGAAAGAGAGAGAGAGAGAGAGAGGAACCGTCAGTTATCACATTCTACAATCCAAGACTGGAGATCATCAGTTGTGTGATTTTTCTCAATTTACCTCTGTTACTGCGAGACAGTATAAACAGTAACTTTGGGACTCTTGTGCCATAGTGGTAGTGCTCTTACCTCCGGTCAAGAGGATTCAATTCCCACCTCAGCATGCAATGGCCACAGAGGAATTTCATAACACTTTCAAAGAAGGTTGATTTAAATATGCATACTATTGAACAGAAACTGAACTGGATCAGCCTTGTAAACACAGTGGCTACAAGAGCTCGTCAAAGGCTAGGAATACTGTGGTTATTAAAAGCCACCTCCCGAATCCCCAAAGCCTGTCCACCGTCTACAGGCACAAGTCAGGAGTGTGATGGAATACTCCCCACTTGCCTGGACGGGTGCAGCCCCAACACTCAAGAAGCTTGACACCATGCAGGACAAAGCAGCCCGCTTGACTGGCACCACATCCACAAACATCCACTCCCTCCACCACCGACGCTCAGTAGTAGCAGTGTGTACTATCTACAAGATGCACTGCAGAAATTCACCAAAGATCCTCAGACAGCACCTTCCAAACCCACAACCACTTCCATCTAGAAGGACAAGGGTAGTAGATACATGGGAACACCATCATCTTCAAGATCCCTCCCCAAGCCACTCAACATCCTGACTTGGAAATATATCACTGTTCCTTCATTGTCACTGGGTCAAAATTCTGGAATTCCCTCCCTAATGGTGTGTGGGTTAATCCACAGCAGGTGGCCTGCAATGGTTCAAGGCGGCAGCTCACCACCACCTTCTCAAGGGGCAACTAGGGACGGGCAATAAATGCTGGCCAGCCAGCAACACCCACATCCCACAAATGAATTGAAAAAAGATTAAGTAACTAGCATTTATATAGTCACAAACAAAAACAGAAATTGATGGAAAAGCTCAGCAAGCCTGGCAGCATCTGTGGAGAGAAATCAGAGTAACATTTCAGATTGCGTGACCCTTCCTCAAAACTGGTTATGAAACAGGTTGCTTCAGTACAGCTCACCCATTCTCACCTACCCTATCTCATATTCAGCTTTTCTTCTGTCCTTGTCTCCAAAATATCATTTCCTCATTTGCCTATCCCTTTTATATCTCTCTCTGGGTTCCGTCTCCACCTATCTGCTCACCTCTACTCTCACCGTCAACACCCAAAAACTTTGGCTTCAGCAAAAATATCATTTCTTCCTAATAGTAGCTAACAGTTCTGATGAAGAGCCACTGGACTCAAAATGTAAATTCTGCTTTCTTTCCACAGATACTGCCAGACCTGTAATTCACGTTTTCATCCCAGGTCAGCAAACTCAGCACATACCCAGGGTTAAACCTGGGACATTTTCCTGCTGTCTGGGACAGCCAAGCTCCACATCAATTAGTTTCTAGTTTCCCTGCCTGAACACACACTGTGACAACAGTTAGTTCAAAGTCTTATCGAGGTGCTTGACATGTTGCTTGGAGGACTTGGGTTTTGAAGGACTGCAGAAAGTGGATTTGCTTCAAATTTTGTGGAAATCCTGGAGTGGTTCCTTTAAGAAGGAGGTTATTCAATGTTCACTGTGGACATTGGGTTTTTTTTTAGATAACAAGGATTCCCATCAAACACATGACTGGTGATGACTGCTTGCTTCACTACAGACCTCCCCCTCCACCAATCCCTGCTGGAGCTGTTCTTAAAAAAGTAACTGGCTTGGAGATTGTTGCTGGATCCAGTTCAGTTGGAGGAAAGCCTGCTAAGAATGAGCTGCCCAGCTGCTCTCCTTCATTCTTGAAAAGAAAACCTCCTTGTGCTGTTCTGGATAAAGCCACTCTGTTCTTTAGGAGGAATGATTGAAAGAACATCTCGAGATTGTATTTCCTGACCAAGACGTTTCTGCAAAACTTCAGAGACAACCGAGTATGATCAATGACCAGGGCAAACATGCCAGAACGTCAAAGCAACTGACTCCAAAACATTCAATGCTTTATCTTTTTGCCTTAAAGAATAACAAATTGGCTAAAGTGTTTTTTTTAAATAAAAAGCCAAAAAAAAAAATCTGTTTGTATTTTCTTTTCTTGCCTGACAAAAGGTGCAGTGCCCCAAAAGCTTGTGATTTTAAATAAGCACAACGGACTATAATCTGGTGTCGTGTGACTTCTGATTTTGTTCACCCCAGTCCAACACTGGCATTTCCAGTGTGAACAGCAGGTGTGTCTGTTTGCATGTGTACTCTGGCAATATTTAGCGCGATAAAGATTTATATTTCTATATCACTGTGCATATTAACCACTTATGATATCGTTACTGGATGATTTAGTTTTGATAATAAACTAATCATTCTGTTAGTTAGGATAGATCTTGTTGCTTAATACCTGATATCAATAAGCTATTTCCTTGGTAACTGAAGAAAGTTTTCCTTATATTACGTTGTGACCTCTAGAGTATTGAGGCTGGAGCAGAGCTGTAGTCCTGGATTCTAACAGGACACCAAAATGAAGGTTATATTTTTTAAACTAGAGATTTAGGAGACCAACACATACAACACAAACCCAAAGCAGCAAGCCACAGAGGCCACAATCCTTACCTTTTTGTTGTGAGAGAAGACGTAGAGAGCCAAGGGCTTGTCCCTCTTATTGATGAAGTCAATGGCCTCTTCTGTGCTGTTGACCGTGACGATGGGTAGCAATGGGCCAAAGATCTCCTCCTGCATAATCCTGGAGTTGGGATCCACATCAGTCACAATTGTGGGAGCTGCCCAAACATCAACAAGAGGCTTTTTCTCAGTAACGGAGAGGACCATAGCTCAATGAAGTCTTGACCCCCCCCTCCCCCCCCCCCGTGCCCTGGTTACTGCCCACTCCTCCTGGTTTCAAACCAAGTGGTTCACAGATCTCCCTCGTGTCTCTACAGGTGGGGTTTCCCTCCACTCAGGACTTCTTGTCAGGATATCAGGAGTGGGATCTTAGGAAATCGTTCTATACCACAATCCATCCACAGACCCTATTTCCAAATTCTTTGGCACCACGTTCATGCTGAAGCCACCAATACAGGATGGACCAAATGGTCCCCCTTTCTGTGCCAAATATGACTATGTTGGCTGTAAATAAACTTTGGGAGGATGGGCAATTGTAATTGTGACAAGAAGTGACTTTTATTATTCAAAAGGGGCTACATGGGTTGTCTGTTCCATAAGAGAGAATGTGACTCATATTGCTTCATGCTGGCATTAACATACAGGTCACAGTGCTAAGGGGTTAATGATCACACTCCCCCTCTGTCTGCCTCTACAAGTACCTATGTAGAGCTCCTTTTCATCGCGCTGACCACCAAACACCACGTTCTCTCCCTCCAGCAAAGACATCAGTCTCTTAAAATGCCGCTGGTTTACAATACGTCCGTAGTCCGGGGATTTCTGGGGATCGGCTCCATAGAATTCCTGGAACAGACCAAGCAGGGATAGTCAGATAGGGAACACACTCCAATAACCATCCAGACTCCACAACATTAGGAGGTAACATCAAGTTGAGTGGACCAATAGTAAAAGAATTAGAAGAGAGGGGTCAGGAAGTGTGGACATCAGTTAAATTGTTTGGCCAAAACAAATCCATTTTCAAAGTGACATTAATGGTGGGTTGGGGGGTGGGGGGGGCCACAATGTTTTCGATAAAAGCTGCTCAGTTTCTTTTAGCGATTTCAGAATTGGAATTTTACAGTAAAATGCTAGAAGTTAAATTTAATAAACTGGTAGCAGAAAAAAAGATAACCACAAGGCTGTTTTGATTGCATAAAAACCCAACATTTTCCTTTATTCACTTGTGGGACATGGGCGGTGCTGACTGGCCAGCATTTATTACCCGTCCCTAGTTGCCCTGGTTCACTAATGCCCTCCATGTGAGTGGGGAACAGGCCATCGTCACCCAGTGTGGGTCTACACAGGACTCCAGACACACACCGATGAAGCGGAGTTTAAACTGCCCCTGAACAAGCGGTGCCCATTGTGAGAAAGCTGTTACCAATGGTTCAAGAGGGAAATACAACTTCAATTTCTCAAAAGGCATCTTGGGATTGCCAATAAATGCCACCAGTTCCAGTCATGCCCACAACTGGGGACTGAATTTTAAACAAAAACTAAAAGCTGCATCGATCCCACATCTCCACTGCTCCGTTCAAAGAATCTCATTTCCATTCAGATTCCTCGAGTTGTAGGACTGGGTGTGTAACTGCTGCTCATCTCCATGGCGACAACACCAGATGTACGCGATACAGGAACACCCCAGAGTGGGAGTAGGCCTTTCGGCCCTTCGAGTCTGCTCCGCCATTCAGTAAAATCATGGCCCATCTGATCGTTGTCTCAACAGCACTTTTCTGCCTGCTCCCCACAACCTTCAACAAATTGATAGACATTTCCAAAGTTGGGGCTCTCTTCATTCAGACAGAGATTATGGATCAAATCTGACGGGGGTCGAAGGTCAAGAAAGAGGGAACATTAGAATCAAGTTAAATGTAACCACGAATGAGAGAGAGCCGGAGAAAATGATTATTTGACTCAGATGGCTTTGAGACCATCCACAAACCAGTGGAGTTAGTGACAGTCAGAAACTACATCAACAATTAGGAGGAGATTCAACAAGTGATTGTGTGGAAACAGAGGGATAAAAGGAGAAGAGGTAAGACACGTGGGATAAGAATTCCCATGGAGGATAAACCCAACACTGACCTGCTGAACCTACTGGTGCTGTAATTGTGAGATACAGTACATCCTCAAGAACTGGCTGAACACCACAGCTGCTGCAGCATGAAGCCAGCGCAGAGATTAACCCCTCAACTACAGGACTGGTACAGCTCGTGGGCTTCAGCGATTGGGGAGAATCACAGCGAAGGCAACTCGCTTCGGAGGACAATCCCACCCAACCCAGAACTGGGCTTTCCTCTTTCAGGGGCTGTCTCTCCCACTGCTGCTCCCACCGTTTCTCTCCTTATGGAGTTAATGACAGTTCCTGCTTTGTAAACTCACAGAGACAGCAGAGCCAATCTTCTTCACCACTTCATCCTGGATACTGTTATTACACAGGATGTAATCTGGAGCGATGCAGGTCTGACCACTGTTTGTGTACCGTCCCCATGCAATACGTCTGCAAAGAATAAATAAGGTGTTCACCACAAGGAACTCGTTCAAAAGGTTTACTCCTAGAACAACAGAAATTTATAGCAATGAGGGGAGATCATTCAACCCTTTCTGCAGAATCCTTCTGTCCCTTCACTCCTCCCTTTGGCCTGTACCTACTAGTGCTCAGTTACTCCTCCTTTCAAATGTACGTTAGATTCCACCACACAGGGGGATTTTTCCACTCGTTCAAGAGATGCGGAAGTTGCTGGCTGAGCCTGCACTTATCTCCCATCCCCAATTGCCCCGAGAAGGTAGGGGCGAGCTGCCTTCTTAGACCGCTGCTGTGCAGGGATGCCCACAGTTCTGTTAAGGCAGGGAATTCCAGGATTTTGACCCAACGACACTGAATGAACAGTAATTCATTTCCAAGTCAGGTTGGTGAGTGGTTTGGAGGGCAATTTGCAAGGGGTTGGTGTTCCCATGTATCTGCTGCCCTTATCCTTCTAGGCAGTACAGAGTTAACTGGTTCGAAAGGTAATGTCTAAAGGAGATGCCAAAGTGAAATGCTCAGGAAATGAGGACACTGCGGTGAATTTTCAGAAGCAGTCATCCCACACTGTTTAGGAAGATCACTGTTCCACTGGGACCATAATCCATCGATAGCCTTCAGCACTGACCACCCAAAAGATCAAACCCCTCTGCCCTTGCATCCAACTCGTTAAACATCAGCTAATCTGTACTCAGCCCAGCTTTTACTGTCCCAGAGCAGAAACTCAGAGTTCACTTCAAAAGAAATATCTCCAGAGTCGGTGGCTGCAGCAATAGATGACCTACTTCCTTCGGAAAATGAAACTGTTCTCAAAACCAGAGTTAACTATAGAGTTAAACTCCGCCCACCTGCCATCCTGGTTTGGTGGGGAGGGAGTTTGGGTTATGTAAGTTAGTTTGCAGGTGCAGCAAGTGTTTATGAAGTCTAATGGGATGCTACCCTTTATTATGAGGGGAATTGAAGATAAAAGTAGGGATGTTATGCTTCAGTTATTTAGGAGTATTAGCATTGGAGATGTGGTCTCACTATGTCTCCTTACTTAAGGCATTCGAGGTGGTTCACAGAAAGATGCTTACTAGATGGGGACCAGGAATGAGCTGGTTGTCTTCTGAGGAAATGTTGGACGAGCTGGGCTTGTTTTCAGTGGAGTTTAGAAGAATAAGGGGTAACCTGTTCGCAGTGTATAAGATAAATGGTCTTGGCAAAAGTGACACAATCAAGATGTTTAGGCTAGTGGGCAAATCCAGAACAGTTGAAGTCGAGCGAAGAGTTCTGAAGACGTTATATTGGACATGAAACATTAAATCTGTTTCTCTCTCCAGAGATGACCTGCTGAGTTGCTCCGGCACATTCTGTGTCTATTTTGTATTAAATTTTTTTTTGAACGGATGTAGGTCAAGAGGCAAATAGTGGCCAGGGGAACTACCCTGCTCCTCTTTAAATAGTGCCACCAGATCTTTAAGAGGGCAAAATGGAGCCTCCGTTTAACATGGCACCCAAAATACAGCTCTTCCAATAGTGCTGCAAGCTCTCAGAATGGTACTGGGAGGGAGCCAGCCTAGATGGTGAGCTCATATCTCTGTAGTAGCCCTCACAGTTAGGACTTTCTAACAAGAGAGAGCACTGTGACTTACTTGACACCAGACGCAAAGGAAAGCTCCCTCTGCACTGTCCCAAAAATGTACCAAACACCCGCTGCAGCAATGCAACACTGCCGACCCTCACACAAACCAACCTGCAGGCCACATCCAGGTCACAGTCACCATCAATATAACATGGACTTTTCCCGCCAAGCTCCAGGGTCACAGGGGTCAGATGTTTGGCTGCAGCCTCCATAACGATCCTGCCAACGTTGGTACTGCCCGTGTACAGGATGTGATCAAACTGCTGCTTCAACACCTCCGTTGTCTCTTCGACCCCTCCGTTAATGACAGGGTAAAGATCCTGGGGGGTTGGGAAGGGTTGGAAAGTGAACAAACCTGATGCTCCATGCCTATTCCAAAGACCGCAGTTACACTGTCACTTTCAGCGGGACGGATGTTTCGTAAAAACTGGAGTAGACCATCAGCCCATTCAGTGAGATCCGGGCCATCTTTTACTTCAAGTCAGCTCTTGTTTCATATTCCCCGATACCAGCGTCAGGTTCCGTGGGTCAGTCTACACTCAAATCAACAGTACAACCTTTCAACGTGACACCCTGTTCCCTGGCCAAGATCTGTGTCTCAGGCTTGCTGCAGTGTTCCAGTGAAGCGCAGCACAAGCTGCAAGAGCAACACCTCATTTTCCACCTGGGGATCCTGCAGACCTCTGGACTCAATATCGAGTTCAACAATTCTAGCACCTTCTCCTATGTTCTTAACCCCAAACCCTAGGCCTTGTCGTCACATGGGCTGCTATCACAAATGACTCAATGGCAGCCAGTAACAGTCCCCATTAGCAGCTATCCATTCTCCCTGGCTGACCTTTACCCACTCCTTTGTCTGTCCAACACTTTTTCTCTCTCTCTCTCTATCTGGGCTCCATCTCCACTTACTGTTTTCTCCTCCCCCCTCCCCACCTTTAGCAATAAATACCACCCCTTCCTGGCTACAATCAGTTCTGAAGAAGGGTCACTGGACTCCAAACATTAACTGTGTTTCTCTCTCCACAGATGCAGCCAGAGTCTCTCCAGTAATTTCTGTTTTTGAGCCTGACCTTTAACCCTTTTCAGACACCAAAGGGGTTGGCTAGGCTGAGAATTTGCTGTTTGGATTTCCTGTTGTATTCTCCCTTTATACTGTGCCCTGATGTGGGGGTACAACACAGATACCAAACAGACACTTTTTAAATCAGGTCTCTGCACCCTCCCCAGCCCCCAGCCCATCCATTTTCAAATTGTACTTCAAAGGGAACACAATTTCTTGCCCCACTCCTGTTAATTGTCTCTAATACGGCAGCAGGTCAGGGGAATGGCGTCAAAAATCAGGCGAGCTGTCTTCATGATTGAATGAGTTTACCGGATGTGTTCCTGTCTCTGCAGCTCCTATCCTGCACCCACCTTGTCCAAGTATTGAGGGAGGAGCTCCCCCAGTAACCGGGCCGTATTCTCACTCACTTCTGATGGCTTCAGGACTACGGCGTTTCCTGGGAATGGGATCATATTATACATCACCAGCAAGAAGCAAGTAGTTGCATTCAAACAACAGTCCTTACTGAGCAAGCTATTACACAGCAGCGACAGTCCTTACT